AGCCTTTCTCTCCACCTTGCTCCCAGAAAGGTTTGGTTATAGAATCTGCTAAATCACATAACATGCTTATCTCTTCAGCTGTCATCTCAGTTCCATGAGGGTAGGACAGTGCCTTTTTTTTTTTTAATAAAAAAACGTTTTGATTTAGAATGGTTTTAGATTTAGAGAAAAATTGCAAAGATAGTATAGCACAAAGAATTCCCATATACCTGGTTTCACCTGTTGTTAGCATCTTAAGTTAATATGGTTCATTTGTCACAATAACCAACCAATACTGAAACATGGATTAGCTAAAGTCCATCCTTTACTCAGATTTCCTTAGTTTTCACCTAATGCCTTTCTCTTGTTCCAGAATCCCATCCGGGATATCACATTACATTTAGTAATCACGTCCCCCTAGGTTCTTGTTAGCTGTGACAGTTTCTCAGACTTTGCTTGTTTTTGATGACCTTGAGAGTTTTGAGGGTCAGGTGTTCTGTAGCACATGCTTCAATTGGGATTTGTCAGATGTTTTTCTCGTGGACTGGAGTTATTTATTTGGGGGAGGAAAACTACAGAGATGAAGTACCATTCTTGTCAAATCAATGCTGCATACTTCAAGATGACTTGATATTGACCTTGGTTACCTCGCTAAGGCAGTGCTCATCAGGATTCTCTACTGTAAATTACTCTTTTTTTTCCCTGCCCACACTTGTACTCTTTTGCCTTTTCCACAATGTCATTTGGAAAGAAGTCACTGTGTGCAGCCCCCACTTCAGGAGTAGAGGGTTATGAAGCCCTTCCACAAGGGCGGAGTAGCCGCATAATTGGAATTCCGCACAGATTTGTTTCTTCTCCCCTATTTGTTTACTTATATCAGTATGGACTTGTGGATGTTTATACTTTAGGTTTAATCCAGTACTACTTTATTTTGTTGCTCAGATTATTCCAGTTTGGCCCCCGGGAGTGCCTTCATTTGGCTCCTGTGTGCCTTTTCCATACTCCCATCATTGTGGTGGTGGTGTGTGGGGGGCGGGGGAGGGCTTTAGCACTTCCTTACTTTCTGGCACTACAAGATATTCCAGGCTTATCTTGTGTATTTCCAGACCTAGAATCAGTCATTTCTCCAAGAAGCCCTGGTTCCTTTATTGGAGAGTAGTGTTAGAAACCAAGACTAGATGTGCTCTTTACTACTAGGGTATGTTTTTAGGCCCTATTAACTGATAGAGCAAGGAAATATATATGTGTGTGTGTACTACACAGGGTATATACACATATTTATAGATATTTCTATATGTAACCACCTGTATCTATATTAATCTAAACAAGAATTCATACTGATGTCTCCCAACTCGAATCCATTGCCACATGGATCATTCTAGCCTTTTCAGGTTGTTTGCCTGGAACCTCCCTCTCTATCAGTGAGTAACCTGGCTCCCACCATCCACCATCCATTTATCTCATTGTTCAGTTCCAGTATATACAGACAGTGGTTTCAGAATTGTTAACCTGTTACCTGAGGGAAAGAACTTCATCAACTAGAGAACCGTGCTATGTGTAGTTCTTTTTGCCTTTAGTCTTACACACTCCCACTATTTCCAAAATTATTTAGGTCAGCACCTTTCCTCCACCCCCATTCATTTATAATATGGTTGGATTCATACGTCACACTTTGCATTTCATTCTGGGATCCTTGACATCCTAAAATTTACATACATTAAGGTTCATTCTTTGTGCTGTAAAGTTCTATGAATTTTGACAAATGCATAGTGTTATCTATCCACCATTACAATATTATATATTAATAGGATAGGCTCGGGCCCGCTGAACAGTGCATTGGTTAGGAGTTGGTTTGGGAACTCCGGTTCGGATCCCACATGAGGACCAGTGACACTGCGCCCTCTGCAGCTAAGATGGTGAACAACGGCTCACCCTGGAGCTGGGCTGCTGTGAGTCGCCAGCGAAGGCGTAGGCTGCAGTGAGGCTGGTCGGCAGCTGGAATGTGCTTTCGTGAGATGCCCTATGAGCGGCATCCAATGTCCGGCGAGCAACTGCCTCACCAGGGAAGAGTGCAATGATCACAATACCAACATGGGCCAGTGAAGCACGTCTTCCACAATCAGACTAAAGAACAAAAGGACAGCAACTTGTCTGTTCCAGTTCCCCAATAAAATTAAAAAATATATATATATAGAATAGGCTCACTGCCTAAAAAAAAAAAAAAGAATCCTCTGTGCTTCACCTATTGAACCTCCTCCCCACCCCCAGTCCCTGGCAACCCCAGATCTATTTACCCTCTCTCCAGGTCTGCCTTTTCCACAGCGTCATTTGCTTGGAATCATGTAGGATGTAGCCTTTCAGGCTGGCTTCTTTCACTTAACAGAATGCATTTAAGATCCATCTGTGTCCTTGTGCGGCTTTATAGCTCATTCTTTTTTATTACAGAATAGCATTGTCACATGGATTTACCAGTTTGTTTATCCATTCATCTATCTAAGGACATCTGGGATGTATCTAGTTTTTGGTGATTCTGAATAAAGCTGCTACAAACATTTATGTGATGGTTTTTGTATTGATACAGGTTTTCAGATCTGTTGAATGATTGCTGGATCATATGATATGATTATATTTAGTTTTGTAAGAAACGGTCTTCCAAATGGGCCACACCATTTTGCATTTCCGTCAACTGTAAATGAGAGTTCCTCTTGCTCTACATCCTTGCCAGCAATTGATGTTGTGAATTTTTTAAATTTTAGCCATTCTAATATGTCTTGTGGTATCTCATTTTAATTTTAAGTTCTTATGTCCTCAACCTTAAGCTTAGTAGTAATAAACACTTTATTATTTATTTATGTTGAAAGAATGAATGGTTGAAATAATTTTGTTGAATTATCGAATGACTTGAATGTGCATCAATTTGCAAGGTTTCTCCTTTGAGAGTGATACTCTTAGGCCCTGACAACACGTTTCCCACACACAGAAATCAAGTGTGTTTACTGTTAAGTGAGGCACTATATCTTCAGGGGCTTTTTAATCACAAGGAATGCTCTGGGCCCTCCTCTGTTAATCAACATCCGAAATACCCTGTTTCATAAATATCCAGGTTGATCAGTATTTTACGGTTTCATTAAGATCAGAATTAAAGATCAGATCCTACACTCTTGTCCTGCTGTGTTCAGACCTATGCGGGCAGATAGAATATGCTAACTTATGGAACAAAACAAAAGTAATGAGCGATGTCAGCCTTGGAGCCCAAGCCTAGAGCAGAGCTCCCCAGCTGGCATATGGTGATGGGCTGCAAGTGGCAAGAGCCTGATTCCCTCCGCCTCCAGGGTGGAGACTGAGTGCCTGAGGCCTTGGGCCAGTTGCCATATGTGCCCTAGAAATATTGTCCTTTCCCATGTGTGCCATGACATGAGAGAGCTTGGGGATGCTGCCCTGAGTCCAGGGAGCTCAGAGCTCGGTTTTTGATCACTCTCGAGTTTTTCCCTCAATTTCGCCATAGTATGCCCTTTTTCTTTATTGTGGTAAAATACATGTAACAAAATTTACCATCTTAACCATTTTAAGTGTGCAGTTCAGTGGTGTTGAACACATTGAAATTGTTGTGCTACCACCACCACCATCCATCCCCATAACTCTCTTCATCTTGTAAAACGGAAACTATGCTTATTAAACAATAACTTCCCATTCTCCTCTGCCACCTCCCGGCAACCACCACTTTACTTTCTGTCTATGATTTTGATTGTTCTAAGTACCTCATATAAGAGGAATCATAGTGTATTTGTCTTTCTGTGACTCACCTGTCACACTTAGCATAACGTCCTCAATGTTCATCCATGTTGTAGCATGTCAGAATTTCCTTCCTTTTTAAAGCCAAATAATATTACATTGCATGGATAGACCACATTTTGTTTATCCGTTCAGTCTGCTCGCCTCACTCATGTCTCCAGCTTGCTTTTCTTTTGCCTAAGTTTCATAGGCATTTCTGCAGGCAAGGTAGCCAGAGGCCTGGAGAGTCAAATAGTCCAGGTTTGAATCCTGGGTCCTTGTTTTCCTAGCACATTACGTAACCTCTCTGGGCTTTATTCCTCATCTGTAAAGTGGATGTGTGGTAGTGGTACTTATCTTATAGACTGTTGTTAAACAGGACAGTCAAGACTTAGAACAGTGCCTGGCACATAATAGGTCTTTGTTTGACCCTGTGAGGACAGCAAGAGCAAAGCTCTGGGTTCCTTGGGCTCTGGGGTGCTGGAGTTCCCGCACATCGGCAGGGAGGAGGCCCATTGATGGGCCTGGGTGAGCCCACTGCCTGCACATGGCCAGCTGGGGCGGACTTTGAGCTGGAGGCCTGGTGCTGCCTCTGTGGGCTCTGGCTCTGCCTTGTTCCAGCTCTCACCCACCGCCCTGTCCCCAAGAAGAGGGAGCAGTAGTTGGGAACCAGCTGTCTGTGCTCTGCTTTTGGCAGCTCAGAGGCACTGTGGGTACGGGAAGTCATGCCAGGGAAAACACTGGAACTCAGAGCTCCACTCGGAGTGTCGAGAGCGGGTTTCTGGTCTGTGGGAAGAGCTGGGAAGCTGGCATTTTTGCTGTGGGCAGAGCCCTCTGCTAGAATTTTTGAAAATTCTTCTGCAGACTGGGGAGAGTTTGAGCCATCAATAGCAGTGTCGTCGGTGTTAAATGTTAAAGGGCTGGCTGGGGGTATTGCCCTGCCAGGGTGATGGAGAGGACCATATACAACCACTGGGGCTCCATTTACGGGGCATCAGGCTCTTGTGTGTGCTGCTGGACACACAGGGATGAGGTCCACCCTCCGGCAGTGGTAGGTCAGTTCTGTGACCAACCCTTCATACCTGGGGAGTGGCGTTGGGGACTGATGAACGTGAGGACCTCGTGTGGCTCCTCGCTGTCTGTCTGGGAGCAGCCAATTCCTTCTGTTTCCTCAGTACCCCACCTTTTCTAAAGTGCCCCTTGATTCTTTGAGTTTGTATGTCTCTAATCTGAATGTCATGTGATTACAGGATCCAGTCAGTCCCAGGAGCATCCGTCCAGCAGCTCTGAGGAGGCATCGGGAACTGACGAGGAGGAGGAGGAGAGGGAGGAACCCAGCTTCGTCATGGGGCGGTGACAGCGTTGGCCCCAGCACCTCAGAAAACCCTCCACGCCACCCGATGGGGAGGGAGGCGGTTTCAGTTCACTTTCTCTCCCAAGGCCTCGCTGGATGGAAGCAAGTGGGAACCCTGTCGGCAGGACTCAGAGCCTGCGGTACAGAGGACCAGTTCCTGGACACTCAAGCAAGGGCATTGCCAAGCCGAGTCCATTCATTTTCCCGCCGAAGGGGGTAGGGGGTGGTATGCCTGTTCTCACATATTTTGACAGTGATGAGTTTGGGGCTGGTTTCTGTGAAAGGAATGTGTATTTAGTAAAGAATAGAAAAACGGTAGGTTTTGTTTGGACCTGTGAAATGCGGAAGCTGTAGGGAAGGTTGTGAAACAAGGTGATGGGGGACTGTTCCCAGACTCACTGAGGGAAATGGCTTTGGCTCTGGGCCTGCCTCCCATTTCCTTTAGCTGAGGGTGCAGACTGCACCCCAGAACACATGCTCCGCCCAGCAGCTCCCACAGTGTGTTTTGGGAAGCCTTGGGCATGTGCAGAGGGTGACATGGGACGTAACTGCGGGGCTGGGCTGCAAGAAACGAACTGGTGTCTGAAAAGAGCTTTTGGGAAAATAATTAGACTAGAAAAAGAAGCAGGTAGAGAATCTGGGCTGGGCTGAACCAGAGTAGAGGGCCTGGGGAGTCCTAATGGAACTAGAAGCGGGGGGACCCCTTGGCCAAAAGCTGCGTTTTCATCCTGAGGCCAAAAGCTGCGTTTTCATCCTGATGTCAAAGGGAATCTAACCAGGAAGTGGGAGGTTGCCTTTTAGACAACAGGAAGGAAAGAGGTGGCTTCTGATTAGAGCCTTTGCTCACTTTTTGGATTATTTATCTCCAACTCCAAGTTTCTAAGAATATTTTGTGCTTTTCACGGAGTTGGATAGAATGAAGGAAATCGCGGTTTTGAGTGAAGGGAAACAAACATTTTGCTCTTCTTTCACTTTTGTAGTATTGATTTCCCTGGCCCTGCCCTGAGCCAGGTGACTGGGGTGACTTCTGTCCTTTCAGGAATTCCTGAATTCAGCAGTTCAGGAATTTTTCTTTCCCTGGAAGCTGAAATGGAAAGTCAGCCCTAATAAATTCGCACACACCCTGGCCACACATTTTGAAACCCGGGTTTCTCTTTGGTCAGGGACTGGCAGGTTATTTGTGTTTTGTTTTTTGTTCCGGTCTTCGATCTGTTGGTTTCCTTATCTCCCCCTAGAATGTGTGTCACAACTCTTTTTTTTTTTTTAACTTAAACAAGTTTTTGTTTTACTTTTAAGTAGATTATATGTTTTTAAAGCAGTTTTAAGTTTACAGCAAAATTGAGCAGAAAGTAGAGAGATTTCTCATATACCCCCTGTCCCCACACATGCATGGCCTCCCCCATGGTCTGCATCCCACACCAGAGTGGTGCATTTGTTACCACTGTTGGACCTTCATTGACATGTCATTACCACTCAAAGTCCATAGTTTACAATAGTGTGCACTCCTGTTGGTGTACTTTCTATGGGTTTCCACAAATGTATAATGACATGTATCCACCATATGGTATGATACAGAGAAGTTTTACACCCTAAAAAAACTCTGTGCTCTGCCTTTTCACCCCTCCCTATCCCTGACCCTAGGCAACCACTGATTTTTTACTGTCTCCATAGTTTTGCTTTTCCAGAATGTCATAGTTGAATCATTCAATATATAGCATTTTCAGATTGGCATCTTTCATTTAGTAATGTGCATTTTAGTTTCCTTCATGTCTTTTTGTGGCTTGATGACTCATTTCTTTTTAGAGCTAAATAATATTTCATTGTCCAGATGTACCACAGTTTATTTACCCATGAATCTACTGAAGACCCTCTTGGTTACTTCCAGATTTTAGCAATTAAGAAGAAAGCTGCTGTAAACATCCTCATGCAGGGTTTTGTATGCACATAACACTTTCAACACCTTTGGGTAAATACCAAAGAGTGCGATTGCTGAATTGTAGTCAAGAATATGCTTAGTTTTATAAGAAATCGTCAAACTGCCTTCCAAAGTGGCGGCACCATTTGCACCCATCCCCACCAGCAATGAATGCAAGTTCATTTTGCTCCATCCACATCCTTGCCAGCATTTGGTGTTGTCAGTGTTGTGTCACAACTCTTGCTTTGAGTCTGCAGCCTGCATCTCGTGGGTGTCGTCTTGCACAGGAGACTGGAGGGTAGCAGAGTTTGGAGCCTGAAGACCAGGGTTCAAGCCTTGACCCTACCTCCATTGAGACAGGAAACTCTGAGTGAGTCACTTCCTGCCTCTGCCCAGTGCACCTGACCAAGAGCTTAGTGAGACTGTGTTAGACAGGTGGGCAGAAGACTAAACAAATAGGATAGTAGGCAGGGTGTTTTACACCTTTACTAGCTTTCAGAAGGTGATGTTTAGGTAGGAAATGTCCTGCAGCAGTTTCTGACAATTCTTAAGAGGTCAGCAATACCTTAGGTTGGATGATTCTCAGCCTTTCTTCTTCAGGGTATTGTTTATTTGGGAAAGGGGAACAATTAAAAGTCATCAATGAGAAGAGAGTGGGTGATACTGGGAGGACTCCCACCCCTCAAAAAAGAGCCGTGATTAGGGGAGAATCATTAAATAATGCCCTTATTGATTAGCGTGTGTGTGAGGAGAGGTCTAAATTGAATAACAAAGGTATATATAGCTTGTTGTCTCAGGAAACCTCATGTATAAGAGCTCTGGTTTACTAGGCAAGTTAGGACTTGGTTCACTAATTCACCTAACATATATGGAGCACTCAGTGACAGCCCTATGCCAGGCCGAGTTATTTGTATTAGAACACTCTTTGCCCTTTAATTAGGTGTCCCATATAGATTTACAGTCAAGATTTATAAACAGAGAGGTCTGGAAACTTGCCCAAGTCACCCAGCAAGTAAGTGGTGGAGCTGGCCTTTGAACCTGGGTAGTGCAACTGCAGCATGCATCAGCCTAGCCACTGCACCATGGCGCTGTCTGCTCAGGAGGAAGCTGTATGTGGCCCAAACCTGGTGTGGGGGGGGTTCCCAAGGGCTGCACCTCCTTTAATAAGCCCCCTGGAGCATGTGTGTGTGTGTGTGTGTGTGTGTATAATAACATAGTAATATGTCATAATATGTCATAGTTTTAAATATAATTGAACCTCATTTTTCACAAGTTCTATGTTTGTGAATTCACTAAAATTTATTTGTAGTCCCAAAATTAATACTCATGCTTTTGTGGTCATTTGCAGACATGCGCAGAGTAGCAAAAACTTGAGTGGCCTGGTGCACTCATTCCCAGCTGAGGTCAGACACAATAATGCTCTGCCTTCTTGTTTCAGCTGAGACTTTTCTATGTAATGACAGGTTTTTTGCATTTTTTGCTTTTTGTTGGTGATTTCTGTTTAAAGTGGCCCCCAAGTGTAGTGCCAAAGTGCCGTCTAATCATGTTCTTAAGTGCAAGAAGGCTGTGCTGAGCCTGAGGTAATCTCCATGCAGGCATGAGTTACAGCTGTGTTGGCTGTGAGTTCAGCGTTGAGTCCATAATATATACTTATTAACAAAGGTGTCTTTAAACAAAAACACATGAAACAAGGTTATGTATTGATCAGCTGGTGTTGCGAGGCTCACAGGAACCCAGCCCTGTATTTCCCCAATCAATAAAGGTTTGGTATTCCCTACTTCAGTATTCTTTATAGAACATACCTACCATGAATAATGAGAATCAATTGTGTGTTTATGTTTGGAGAGTGAGTGAACTGCATGAGCAAGCCTGGACTTACAGAACCGTCTTTCCTAAAGCAAGGAATTGTGCTTTATGGCTGTATTCCCTGGGGCTGTATCTCACCTGGAGAATCAGGCCCACAGATGTCACATAGGAACCCAGCACTCCCCACTATCTTAGGCCTTCCCCGGTGTAATCACTGTCCCACTTTCTAAAAGGCACTTTTGCATGCCCTTTCTCCGTAGCCCAGCCAGCAGGTTCCTGTCTCACAGAGCAGGGGGAAAGCAGAAGCCTCAGGCCCGCCCCTCGTGCCCCCCCCCCACCTCATCCACCAGCCCATGGCACCTAGGCTCCTGCTTGCCCTCTCGGTACCACGTGCAGCGCTCCCCTCCTGTTTCCTGGTCTGGCCTCTCCCATCAGGAAGCGACTCTGGGGTCGCCCATGGGGAAACAAAACAGAAGCCCTTGTGTCCATGTCCTCTGTCACCCATTCCTCCTCCCTTCCCAGCCGCACGCCCCGAGAGCTCTCCGTGTTGACGTCCGCCTCTGCCCTCATCCGTCTCCCAGTTTTCCTCCCCATCACTGCGCTGAAGTCCTAGCCTCGCCAACTCCAGCCCCTTAGTGGCCCTCTGTACACGTCACACTCTCAGCATTCTGACAGTACTGCCTCCTGCCTTTCTGCCTTCCCCTTGCTTCTCCTCTGCCCAAACTCTAAATGTTGGGATGACTCAGCGCTGTCGTCTGTGGACACCCAGGCACCAGCATTTTATCTCGCCTGTGGCTTTAAATACCATCCTCACCAATGCTTTCTGTTTGTGGATTCAACCTCCCTTTGGAGCCTCAGACTCATGTCCACCTGCCTGCCTACCCGTCTCCCCTTGGATGTCTAATGGGCACCGTGCACTTTAATATAAGGAAAACAAGGGCCAGCCGAGTGGCA